GTAAGGTCTAGGGTCCGTATTAGGGCGCGTGTGCCCTTACTATACGCGCGTGCCCTTTTTCTTAAAAGCTAAGGTATTAAATTAAAGGATAATAGGAAATTAGGGGGGTTGCCCTATTACGGGCGTGCCTATAGTTATATAATATGCGTGCGTGTATATAGTTCTATTCTTAGGGTATAGTTATATAAGTTAGCTAGCTATATAGCTAGCTTTTCCGTTACTATCTTTTTAGCTATAGAAAAGTAGGGTAAAAGGTCTATTTAGTGCAGGAACTATTATAAAACGGCTTTATTTCCTTTATAGTTTTTATATAGCTATATATATATTTTTATTCTAGCTTTAAAAAATATATTACCTCTGCTATTGCGGTGTTATTTATAGTATATTACTACGTGCTTTAGAAACTATAGTATATACCTATAGAAGTACGTAGGCGAAGGGTAATTAGGCACTTTTATATAGTGCAGGTATATATTAAGCCCTATATATTCCGTTTATAAAAGCGTAATAATTAAGTTTTCTACTTTTATAAGCTTATAATATTTAGTTACCTAATTTTTATTCTATTTTATATTAAGGGCCGGCGTAGAAGAGCCTTTTTATTTTTTTTATAGGCCTTCTATTTATTCCTCTACCTTTTCTTATATACTTCCTATATTATTTCTTATTTTAAAAGCTTATATAAGTTATCTAACTGCCTTTTATACCTTAGAGCTAGTACTATAGCCTTAACTATAAGCCTTTTTAGTATATTACGCCGGCTTAGCTTATATTTAGGCGTTTTCCTAGGCTTATAGTATTTTCTAATAGTGTTTCTAATAGTGCGGCACGTGGTTTTAATATACTTTCTAGCCTAGCCTGCGCGCGTGCAGTCCGCGTATACTACTATAAGTTCCTTTAGCTTAAGCCTTAAAAAAAGGTAAAAGGTTTTATATTTAAGCGTTTTAATATCTATTATTTTATACGCCCCTATAATAGTATAGAGGAAGTAGTTCTAGGCTATTTTAAGTTATTTAATTTTTACTTTACTAATTTATTCCTTTATACTTAGCGTTAGAAACTAGGTAGTATACCTATATATAAGAACCGGCCTAATAACTACTAAATATATATACTATACTTTTTAGAAGCTTATACCCTATATTAATACTATTAGCTATATAAGGGCTTCTATTTATACTATAGCCTTTTCCTTTATAATATATATATACGGGCCCTATTTAAGTTTAAAGTCCACCTAGACTTTAAGTATATAGAGCTCTATAATTAGGCCTTTTATAAAGCCTTAGATATTTACTATAGCCTTTATATTTACCGTATTTAAATAGCGCCTTATAAAGTATATAAGGTAATACTTATCCGGGGCAAATACTATACTATACTTCTTCGCCCACGCTATATACTATATATACGCACTTTTAATTACCCTGTAGTTCTTTTCTATACTTCTGCTAAATATAAGGATATTAGTGTTGTTTATAAACCTATAGGCTATTATATTACCTTTTTATAGTACTAGTAGAAGTATACTTATAAAAAATAAAAAAAGGATTAGTAAGAGTAAAAATCCTTATAGTATACCTGTATTAACCGGGATAGTTTTAGTAATATATTTTCTAATAGAAAGTTTTATAGTTTAGTTTTATAGGAACAATTTTATAAATTAAACTATTTATTCCGGTATATATTAGACCTATAGGTTATATATTATTCTTTTATAAAATACTTTATTAAAGGCCCCTAAAATATCTAGGCTAAAAAAAAAGGTAATAAAGTAAAAGTTACTCTTTTATATAGTTTATATTTATTCTATAAAAAGTTCTAGTGCTGTCTATATAGATTATTCGGGCCTTACGCCTATTTAGCTTAGTAGGAGCATGCCTTTCTCCTCTGCTATCTTAGATAGTTTTTATGCTATAATACGTTTAAGCAGCTTACCTACTATTTCTAGCAGTATAATTAGCCTATATAACTTTGCTATATTATAAAACGCTTTCTAAGGCTTATATAGTACTATAGTAATTAATTCTTTATACGGCTATAGGTAGTGCCCTATACGCACGCACCTGGTAAAGAACCTAGCTAGTATTAGTACTAGCTACGTTTCGCATTTCTTAAGGATTCTGTTAGTTATTTTTATAATACCCGGGGCCTTATCCGGGGCTATTCCTATTAGCGCGGAGAGGATATCTTCTACTATAACGTTTTATAAGGACTTATACAGCTCTAGGTATTAGTATTTTTTAATATTAGAGAGGTCTGCCTTTATAAAGGGTGGGAAGAACTATTCTATAAGTATTTAGGCCTTAGTTTTATTATCTATATAGAGCGTTGCGTTATTAGGCCGTAAAAAAAAGGGGAATTAAGGCGGTAGCTGTAGTTTCTTTCTAATAGTTCTACCCTATTTAGCTAGCTTTTATACGCCTTTTAGATCTAATATAATCTTATCTACTGCGCGGCGCTATACTTTTATACTCTTTTTATATATAGCCCTTTTCTTTCTATTATACTATACTTTATACAAAATCTAGTCCTCTACTATTCTTAATAAGCGCTAGGTTCTATAGGCCCGCCTTGTCTCCCGCACTTCCTTAGTATACTCTATTAACCACGCAGGTAATACTTATTTTAATAGCTTTGCAAGTGGTATAGTTTTGTCTATTATAGCTTATATATACTTATATAGGCGGTGTGCAAATATATTAAGATTTTCCTCCGTCTCCTGCGGGTTATTCCGAGTTTCTAGCTCGTCTAGCTATATTACTAGGTTTTCTTATACTTTTTTCTATACTATATCCTTCTATAGCCTATACTGCGGGGGTTCGGCTGCTTTTAGTAGTAAAACATCGAACTCTATATATATAGGCCGGTGATTAGAGTTGCAGTTCTATTCCTCTCGTACTGTAGAGGAAATTATTTATTCTGTTAGCCACCCTATTATAAACGTAAGGTTAATTATAGACTATAATATTCCTCTTACCTATATTTCTAGCCTTTTCTCCGTAGCTAGGTCTATGCCTGCTTCGCGCGTGATGCGGAGGAGCTCCTCTGCTTACTCCTCGATTTGTATAACTCGAACTCCTTCCTATAGCGGATGGTGTAGGTTTATGTCTCCGATAAGGATATATTCCGCTTCGGTATTATTTAGCAGTAGGGGTAGTTCCTGTATAATACTGTTAGGGTTCGGGTTATAGATATTATAAATATAGGTTATATTATACTTATAAGCAGATTATTATAATATACGCTACCTTATCTAATAATAGCAGCGCCTTAATTAACCTTTCTATAAACTAATACTATAACTTATTATATTCTAACTTTATAATTACCTACGCTAGTAAATAAATCTTATTATTTTAGTTGCGGCTAATAGCTATTAAAAGAACGCCCTTATATTTATTATATAAATAGGTTCTATTAAGGCTAATCTATAGTAAGGCGTGCTATAGAAACTACCTACTTTTTTAGGCGTAATAAAAACGCAGTTAAAGATATTATAGATAAGGTGTAGGTTAAAAGTTATACTAAAATTAACGGCCTTAAGCCGCCTTATATACTTAGGTATTTTAGTATAGTTTTCTACTGCTATTTACGCCTCTTTTCTAAGTATTTTCCTTTTTATATAGTAAGCGTACTAGGCCTATATAAGGCTACTAAAATATATTATAGCTACTGCTATAATATTTTTTATTACTATTATCTAGCTAATAGAAAGGAACTAGAATAGGTTAGTAATAAAATAGCTTATATAACTCTAGCTAGTATAGGCTAAAAGCGCTACGCTAATATAGTTATAGAGGTTGTTAACTTTTTATATAAAAACCTTACTATTAATAAAGGCGGCGTATAGCCTCTATTTATATAGCTTTTTAGCACGGCAGTATATAAGGGTTTTAATACGCGTTGGCAGGCCTAAAGCCGGATGCGAACCTTAATAAGTTAAAAATCTATTAGTAAGCAAGCTATATACTATAGGCAGAAGATATACTCCTACTAAGCCCGCTAAATAGGGGCTAGAAATAAGGGTAAAGCCTAAGTCGTATAATAGGGGTTTATCCCCTAATATAGCAAAGCTTAAGGCGTATATTATTACTAAGGTGGACGTAAAGGGCCTAGTGCTTATTATTAGTAATATTTATATATATTTATCGTATATTATTAAAAGTTTTAAACTTTTTACCTACTTTAGAAACGCTAATAAACTCTATAGTAATAAAATAATAAGAATAGGCTAAATAAGGGTAATATAGGTAGATCTAAAGCTTTAGGTTAATAGAATTTAATAGCTATAAGGCCTATAGAATAGCACGGTAATAGGACTTTATATAGTAAGCTTATAAAGTTTTCTAGTATTAAAAAAGGTTAAGTTTATATTACTAATATAATTTAGATAATTGCCTTATATAACTACTGCAAATTTTCGTCTATAGGCTATAATAAACCGGAATAAGCCTATTTAGCCTCTCTCTGCACCTACGCACTGTCCTCTACGACGTGGCAGCTTAGCATTATCCTTAATAACTTTAACACTATAAGCAACACCAAATTGGGCCTCCAGGGCACGCGGCAGCGCTCCGGAGGGCCTATATCTATTAAAGGAGTGCAGCAACTGACTCTTGGAGTGTCTCCTGCACGGGGCGATACATATTCATTGCATTAGGGCATATATTGAGGATGTTGGCGTTGAGAGCGGTGAGGGCACGTGATGCAACACCACAAACGGGCTGTATATATTTGTGCAATGCCAGGAAACGCCTCGGAGACGCCGTGCAGCGGAGCTGATGCTCAAACAGGCTTATTTAGGCCTCAATTGGCATCGGCTCGGCGATCGGGCGTCTCCGTGGCGTTTCCTGGCATTGTAGACCAAAATGCGCCAAGTTACTGGCATTCAAGACTATTGCCCGCAACCTGGAGACATCGTGGTCACCGATCAGCAAATGCCAACCCCGACACCGCTGGGCGAGGCTGGGCAACAGGCGCGTTTGTCCTGATCTGACATGGTTGCCGACTCCAATGGCTGTCTGGCTGGGTTGGCCCACAAGACGGCGTGGGGGGCAGCATTGCGTCAGGTATCGTGGCACCCAAGCATCGACATGTCGCCGAAATTCGCTATCCCAGGATGCCGGGCACAACCCCGGTCGGACGATTCTGCGCCTCCAAGCGCGGATCTCGATGCATTTCCACAACAATACGTACGCCCCATGGACTGCCATTGATTAGGCCGGGAGAAGATGCAGGTTGCTTTCTTTTACGCTGATCTCTGCGTTGCTGATTTTCCTCCTGCTCCCCGCGCGTTCTCGCTTCTTCTCCCTGCCGCAGGGGACGCAGCCACGCAGCTTACCCCATGGTAGCCCACCTGTCGCCTGCCCAGGCCAAACGCCATCATGCCCTGGTCTGTTGTCATAAAATCTCGCTTATCCCACGTTTACTTCGCTCAACAGCACGACGATGGGACGACTCCGCCATCGCGGGTTACATTCACCAATCTCAAAAGCAACCGTCTGACATGTCGTGCTTGCTCCTGGGCCTACACCCATGACTTCACCCCATGTCCCTCAACACCTTCGTCTTCCCATCTCACTACAACACATCTAACACGCGACCCTTTGAATACCGCGAATTCACGCGCCAGCGGCCTTGGCCGATTTCATGGAAGAGCAACAGGCTGAGCCTTTAGTGTGTCTAAGCTGCCAGAATGGCGAAGTTGAGCTTTTCTTCTGCAACGTGTGCGAGCTCACCCTGTGCGGAACATGCTGGGACCAGCAGCTTGTCCACCGCATCAATGCTTCCGCTCACGAGAAGACCAGGCCCGACCTGGAGCGACGCATTCAAAGGGTGTTCGCACACCCATCCAACGAGTCCGACTATGAACGGATGCACGAAGATGACGAGGGGAGCGCATGGTTTGGTGGGTCTGGCCGCTGTTTCAGTTTTGCGCCTCTAAACACTCTGCAGGCATTGGCTACTCGGAGCTCTCGGACGATATCATTTTGCGCGACTATGGGGAATACGCCCAGCTCATAAATCAAATCGGAATGGACTCGCGCCGTTGGGGCATCAGACAGCGACGACTCCGGAGCAAGAACAATTTGCCCATGCAAAGCCGTGTCGACCTGAGTTCATGCCACCCAGGACTAGTCTCGTTTGTCGGCGTGAGCGGCGCAGGGAAGAGCACGCTGATCAAGCTGTTGATCTTGACCACCACTCTCGAGGAGACTAAATTTCCTACGCCGATTCCTGGTGCTCCGGGAAAGCATATTCCAACGTCGGATGGTATCCATCTCTATGCTGACCCACAAACCGTGCTCTCCTCTCAGCCGATCCTATACGCTGATTGTGAGGGCTTGGACGGCGGTACCATCGATCCACAGGCGGCCAGGTACGACCGCAGAAGACTCTACGGCAATGACGCCGCGCCGCTCTCTCCAGGAACGACAGATGGATTTCCTTTTTGTGTTCAACGAAGACTGGCGTGGGCGCTTGATGATACCAGAAGGTCCAGATCGTTCGCCGTATCGCAGCTATACCCTCGGATTCTTTTTGCATTCTCTGACGTTGTCGTTTTTGTTCATCAAAATCCCAGGTTAGACCCCTCCCCCACCCGAGCCTAGAATCGAATATCACTCATAGGATTGCAGAACAATCGAAGACGTGCTGGAGAAGCTCATTTCCTGGGCTGCGAAAGCAGAGACGAGTAGCAATCAGCCTGTCCTCCCATATCTCATTTTGGTCTTGAATGGATGCGAGGAGGGCCTGGAACAATTTTACTGGGATGTCGATGCTGCCACAAACTCGCTCTTCGAGTCGCTCGCTGGCACTGTCGCCACGAATCCTGTTTTCAAGACATATGCGAAGAGTTGGAGAACCCGAGGAAAGCAGATCACGTCGCTGGAAGATCTTATTCTATGCTATTACAGCCGTCTACGAGTGAGTGGTCATGTGTTGGTTTCGAATACATGAAGCCTGCTAAACCCTTCCATCAGATGGTCCGAATTCCCGCCAATTCCCGTCCGACACTGATACACGATCAAGCATTGAAGTTACATGAAGAGATCCAACGGGGTGTCGCTCTAGTCCAAGAGAGGAAGTCAAGACTGCGTCTGCTTCTAAATGCTGTCGATTTCCAGACTTTCTTCCAACACGCTCTCGACCATTTCTGCACGACACTAGAAAAACCCTTCGATTTCGTCCGGGCATCGTTTTGGAACAGCCGCCTTTCCTCTGATTTTAGTGAAAGCATCCTTGCCATTGCGATCACAATGAGGGATGCTACCAAGACCCCCAATGCCGTGTCGATCTTTGGTAGGCTCAGCAACCTAATAGCTTCGTGCATTATGCTCGATGCGGTCCGGAACGACATCCGAGGTTTGTGCCACAAAGATCGCAAATAGCTCCTCGATTAACTGATTGTCCCCAGGCTCAGCAGATAGGCTCCTTCCGAAATACGCGGCCCGAATAGAGGATGCTCTCTCTGAATTTTGTGACCGACATTGGCCTTGCGAATACGTATATATCGACCCATGGGACACTGAGGACCTGGGCTCTGGCTGGGATAACAGTGTCATGTTCACAGTCGCCAGCAAAAACTTCAAGCGCCTGCACTGTGTCAACGTAAAAGTCGCCCACGGTGATCGCGGCCACCAGCTTGCCGACGGGACGTACTTCGCTGCCGGCGAGCACTTCTCTAGGTTCTCCGTCGAGAGTCACAAGACTGTCATCTTAGACAAGATCTACTTCGTTCTACACCACCTGCTCGATAGTCTCTCTAAATGCGGCCAGCCTGGCGAATCACAGCCGGCTACGGCTCACAGACTCCATCGTGACGAGGTCCTAAGGCCGTTCTACGAGTCGATTGAGCGTACGAATGCAGGCACAAGATTTCAAAGCACAAAATTCTGCCCGTCTTGTCTGTTCGAGCAAGTGTACCAAGTGTTGCCGTGTGGGCACGCGTTCTGTCGCCACTGCATACAAGCATATGGTTGGTGGCAGTCAAAAACCATCCTTGAAGTATCTCAGTGTCCCCTCACGGATCGTTGTCGGTTTCCCGACCGAGGATACACCACATACATAAAACCCGAAGACGCAGGACTCCGTATCCTCGCTCTTGACGAGCAAGTATTTGGCTATTGAATCTTTTGTTCTATGCTAATAATCTATAGCGGTGGAGTCAATAGCGTGGTCCAAGTGGAGACCCTTAAGATGCTTGAAATAGAATTTCAAGGAAGACTTCCTCTTCAATGCTTCTTCGACCTTGTAGTTGGCGAAGGGTGAGGATCCTGTAGTACCATTTCCCAGGCCCACGCTAACGAATCCAAGAACTGGAGGAGTTCTAGCTCTAGGTCTCGCGACTAAGGCTTGGACGGCACAGGACTGCGAAAAGCACCTTTTAGTTCTGCTCCACGAAATCTTAGCAAAAGCAAAGGCAGAGGGAAGGCGGTGGCCTGTCAAACTGCAAGTGCGCCCAAAACGACAGGAAACTTCCATGTACAGTGCAAAGAAGCTAGAGGAGTCCTTGAAGCACCTTTTCACCCCAACCCAGGCTATGGTTGACAACCCTTCCGACAGTACCACCCAACCATCAGATGCCGTTCGCGTGGCGATTCGATCTCGCACCATTGGAGAGCAAGCTGCTATCTTCTCCAACTACCTATCAAGAACAACGCATACCGATGTGAAGGCGTGGGAATGGTAGGTCTTGCTGAGTCCATTATGAAGCATTGACTAATTGCAGTCCAGCGCAAGAGCTACCATGGCCATCAGGCCGCTGTTCAAGCCGTTTGTCTGCAAGGAGCTTGGTCCTTTATCTCTGAATGTAAAGCGTGATTCTGAGGCTATCACTATCGCAGCCCAAGAACTCGACTCTGCATTCGGAGGTAGTGACCAGCAAATCATGGATGTCATTTTATCTCTTGGCTGCACAGATAGGCATGACAGAAACCCTTCGCTTGCTCTCTCGGAGTTCATGGAAGGCACAAATTGGCGTAGCCTACTTGAGAGAAACAAAACCAATTCATTAGGCGCCACACCCTTCCGCTTCGCAATCCGGTTGGACAAACCGCCTGCTTTCGATGACTTGTCAGCCATCAGCAAGTTGCGCGATGAGGCCATGTTCCAGATCGACTCGACAGAGGTTCGCAGCATGGCCGCGCGGCTCTTCGCTTGTCTCTTCTACGTTGAAACAGACAATACGGCGCACGCGATATCCCGGAGCAAATTCGTCGTTCAAGGTGAGTTCGTCGCTGAGCGGCAGGCTTGGCGTCACAGAAAGTGAGACTCATTCCAGATTGACGACACCTCTGGGGGTGCTTCGATGCGGTTCATGATGCCCCAAACCTCTGAAAACTTGGCCTTTCCCCAGAGAAATCTGGAGAGAGTAAATGATACGAGTTTGATCCGCCTGGGGTTTGGGGCTTCGTAAAGCTCGTTGAAGCACCCCTGACAGTGCTATCAACCTGGAGTCCCATCGTTTGTGATAGTGAGCCTGGGTGGTCATCGCTTCTCCTTTATTCATCCTCGACTTACGTGTGCTAACCAATCTTCTCTTTACCCCTGTAGCCCACCTCCTCTGCCGACTATCAGACGGTACAAACGAGATGCCCCAACTCGGCAAACTGCTGCACTTCTCCGGTGGAACATTCAGCGGTCTTCGCTTCATCTTCCGCGAGGAAGGATACGACGCGCAGGTCTTTGCCATCCCGCACGAATCCCTCGTCATCGATCTGATCCACTCGTCCCGATTCACCGCACCCAAATTCCCCGTGCAACTCTCGACCCGATCGGCCGTTGTGAACGGCACAATCTGCCTGCGCAACGGTGAGGAGTTCCCGCTTAGCGGGTTCCCGAAGCAGTTGCTGAGGGAGAAGCGTCCATCTAGCAGTCGGTGTAAGTCAACCAAAAACCATAACCGTACTCCAACATAAGTGCCGCAGCTAATATAGAGACTTACATGCAGTCACATCGGCTTCTGGCTCCGGCAGCAGCTCGACTCCGACTCCTGGACAGCTATCAATGGGGGTCTGGACTGCGCCAAGTCTTATTGACATACCGAGCCCTTCGGAGCTTTCGCTTTCGTCTCTCGAGCAGGCAATGGAGGAAGCATGGTACCTGAGGGATACAAATTCGTCTCAATCGCCGTCGATAAGGGGGACGTCGGTAGGGGGCACCTCGTCTCCTCTTAGTTTGAGTCGAGCCTAGGCTGGCTTGGCCATGTACCCCTAGAGCGTGCGGTTGCACTTGGTATTTCCCCGTGCTGAGTACTCGTCCCGGGTTCCTATCCACGGAGTTCGACGATTGCACAACTGTGTGAACGACGACGTGGAGTGTCAGAAGTTGGTGCTGCTTCGACGGGATTGTGACGGAGTTTGAATTTGCATTGAAGGAGTACTGGTTCCATTTCTTTCGTTCGCACTAGAGAGCGCATACACTGTGAGAGCAGAATCAAGGTATCTCTCTACTCTGTTTCTGGGCAATGGGAATGGCTCGTGTCGATCTAAAGCGAGGGAATCTGAGCATCTGAGCGGATTGACGGTCAGGAGCCACTTTTTGTGACCATAAGGCAGCAATCGAGCAAGCTATTAGTGCGAATAGGCCGAGACGCAAGAAAGCGGCAAATGAGACATGTTCAATTCCGCCTTCAGAACCTGTGGCGTTTTCCTTTGTGCTTACGAAGCGACGCTCATCCACGTACCCTGGCATCCTTGATGCTGAACAGTCAGCGAGCAAATTAGGTCAAACGCTAATACATTAATCATATAGGTGCGATGGTATCCCTGATTACCCATGCCAGGCTTTCCAACTTACCAACCACACAGCAGCTCACTCAACATTTGCAAAACCGACTGAGCTCGCTCAAATTGAAATTAATTAAGTGGTGCTTTAGCTAAATCGAAGATCCCGAGCACCGTTATTCCGAGCCGGCGTAAGCGGTATCTATATATATGTTTGTGCCGCCCCCACCAGCCACCCTGCAGGTCCGCTGACTAAAATTACCACTGCCTTCTTTAGGCAATTCTGCTCTGCACATCACTCCCTCTGGTAGTTATACCATATGTAGGCCTTTGTCTCGCGTCTCATCACTCGTCCAGTTGGAAGAAGGGAGGAATCGTGCGATCGGGAGGCATCTCGCGGTTACCGATCAGTAAACACCAACCGAAGAACCATAACATGTCGACTTCGAACATAACACAGCAGCATGGGTTGGGTTTTTCCGATACCGGGAAAAGAGATCCGCCTGCGGATGGCAGAAAATATGAGTTCTTTGTCACTACTGGCGAACCACAGCAGCCCGATGGGGCATCGAGGGCTATCATTCGCCGCGTTGTAATGCGCAACTTCTTCAATGACAAGAACACCAGCACTCAAGAAGAGACCCCTTTGTCTGCTCTTAACTCCTTCTCGACGGTTCAGGCGGGCAGTAACCTCAAAGGTCGATTTAGGCTCCCCAAGCCGGGCCAGACCGCATCCCCTGAAAAGCCAAGGAAGCCCCAGAAGCCCAAGGAAAGGAAGTCGACCAAACACGGGTTGGCCGCCCCAAATTTGAGTAATGAGACGAGACAAACGGATTCACAAGACGTTCTCAAGAAGCAAGGGTCGCTAACTGGTCGTGCACCAGCATGTGCAGCCATCGTCGCTCCAATCAGTAATCCCATTCGAGGCAGTCTAAATGCCCACCGCTATGGCCCCTTCAATGTATTGCCCATTGCGGGTAGCTACAAGATTCAGCTCTTATTTTCCATGTGTGAGTCTCTCGAAATCTTCTTTCCCGGGCACTGATTGATTACTCCCTTCCTCGAGCCGTGGCCGCGGGAGTCTAACAATTCACCCAGACAAGTCAAAGTTCAGGATCAATTCCATAGCAGTCAATGCACGGAATACTTGGTGGCCATTCATCTCGAGAGATGCTACCATGCTTCACTCAACGCTTGCTTCGGTTGCGTTATACAGTGATCTGACTACGGAGGGCATAACCTTCCGGATTGAAGCGCTTAGACATAAGCAAGAGGCAATCAAGGGCATCAATGCCAAGCTTAACTCGCACGAGGGGATCTCGGACGAGGTCGTCGGAGCTGTGGCGACCATAGCTAGCTTCGAGGTGTGTTCATACAGCCCTGTCCGCCGTCACTCCTTGAGGGTGTCGTCAGAATTCATCTGTTTGGATGAAAGCTCATGCAGTCAAGAACTTATACGGGGCCTACAATGCAGCCCAGCTGCACATTGATGCACTGAAGAGAATGGTTATGATGCGTGGGGGCATTAATGCATTCGCCCACAACGATGGATTGGTCAGGGGGCTCGTCTAGTAAGTGTGGCGTTCTCATACTTCCGTTCTCACCCAGTCGAGACTCTCCCAAGTCCGTCGCCTGCATCTATTCCATGTGCGAGCCTGCCACTACCGTAGTCGTGTGTCTGGCCCCTGCTCTCTTGGAGGCTTGGTAGCATGTGTGGCACTGTAGCGAGGGATTGCGGGGGCTCAGACGCGCTCATCCTCGAAAGCCATATGTGAGGTACCAAAGGCGCCTACAGAGTATATAGATACCTGGCGGAGCCCAGCCTCGTGCTGGCGGCCTGCCAGCCGCCTGCGTGAGGCATGCTAGTCACGTGCTCGCTTGGCGCTCGCCTTAGATAGCTGGGATCTCACAATCCTCCGGATTCTCCAAGAATTCGTCTCGTCCCTTAATTCATCTAGCTACAGCTATTTCTACATTAATTCCATTAGAAGCTCCCTGCTATAACCCCCCTTTTACAGCGTATAAACTTAACAACACCCCTATATTAGTTCTAGAGGTGTTAGAACAGGGCCAGCGCTGCTATACTAAGCTAATATTAGTAGAATACTAGAAAAAAGGTAGATACCTATACTACTGCAACCGCCTATATATACCTGAATTTAATAAGCTAAAAGCCGCTCTATTATTATTATTATTATTAAATTCTATTACGCTGGTGTAGCTCCTGTTAGGGTCTATATAGCTGTTCTATCTAGGCTAGTTTATAAGGAGAAACCGTTTGCTGCTATGCAGCGTTCGGATAAAAACCCCGTCTTCTGCGGTGTATAGCGCTAAGCGCTCTTCTCGTTGTTATATAGCTATTAGGGACACGTGGTAGATCTATTAAGTCCACCACGGAATAAGCCATCGTAATGCGTTTTCCTAAATCTGTCCGGGTTTTGCAGTCCAGGCATATTATATCTAGCTAGCTAAATATATAGCAAGTTGCAAATATAAAGCTACCTGCCTAGCTTCCTTGCCACAGTTTTCCACACGGAGTGCTTCCACGGTGTCCGGCCCAGATTAAACCATCTCCCGCCTGCATATACCTGATTTGCTCCTTAAGCCTATCTTACAGCTTGCCTCTGCCTCTTAATAGACTAACACACGTATTCGTTCTTTCGGGCTATATAGACAGTGTTACTAGCAAGGTGTTAATCCTCCTCCCTATATAATGGCCGCTAGTGAAACAGGAAGGCCGTAAAGAATATGCATACTTCCCGTTCTGCAGAGGTGCTGTATAGGCCTAGCCCGCGCAGCCGTGTAAAACGGGAAGTATGCACGCATACTTCCTACCACGTTCTTGCTATATAGAGGCACTATATAAGCCGGAGCTTATATAGCTGTGCACGAGAGGACTAAAATAGGAAGAATGCATGCATACTCTGTATACTTCCTATTCCACCAGCGCCTATTACGAGTCCACCAGGCATCTGTAAAGGCCTGGAGCTAACTGTCGCTGCTATTATATACCACGCCCCACGGCCGCCAGCCCGGGCACTGGCAGCCTTTTTGCGTTACCTGTAACGTTCTTATAATAACAGGCCAACCGTGTCTTGCAGACAAAAGGTTACTATAATAACTCGACGCCGCGCAGCTATTACCCCTTGTTGTCTACTAACCAAACCGCCACTGTCCTTGCTCTTACTTTCCTAGTTCTTCTAGTTCCGGTATTATCGGGTTGCAGATATAAGGGCTTCTAACGTGGCCGGTACAGAGGTGTCCTATTATTCTATTAGAATAAAGACCTATTGCTTTGCTAGCAGATACAGGCACTAGGTGTAGCCCTAGGTTAGTATCCTAGGTAATAGGATATCGGATGGTTATAGACGACAACCCTCTGTTTATTTTCCTATTATCTGTAGGTATTGAGTTTAGTAGTAGCAAGCCGCCAAAACCCGTGAAAACTCTGCTATTCTGGCGGCGTTGAGGACGACGTTTCCAAAAACGACCTCTAGCCACGACGCAACGCCGCTGCACCAGTAATAAACGTGATTCTCACTCTCGTACGGGCCTTGCGGTTCGAACGAGACGGAAAGGAACGCCCGTACGACAATACGGGTCGAATTACGATTTTAGTATTCCTTTTCAGCCGCTCTATTATAAAGCTACTATAAAAGCGCAATAGCGGGCTATTTTAGGAGGTCTAAGACCTATAGTCTAATAGTATGCAACTACTACTAGCCTAGAATACTATTATATATAGAATAGTAGGTTAGAAACTGCTATATCTATAAAAGAATAATACTATTATAAAAAGTATATAATAGCCGTGCTTAAACGTCTATTATTTAGCTAGCCTCTACCTACTAGCTTTATTTCTTAGCTTAATTACTTTATTTTTTAGCTGCGCTAGGTTTTTATATTAGCTATATAAGGTTTACTATCTAGCTAGTCTAGCCTTACTTTATATTTATATAGTATTACTTTTATATATTAATATAACTAATATTTTCTATATAAATTACTTTATACCCCTTTACTAGCTACTAGTTATAAGCCTAGTCTACTATTAAGCAATTTATATATAATTTTTAATTATCTATATACGCTTTTTTCTCCCTTTCTATATTATATATATACGTATTAATTAACGTTCCTATATATTATATAGCGCGGAATTACGTGTAATTTTTTTTAAAAATAGCAGTAAGTAATTACTTAATTACGCCGCCTCGGCTATTTACTCGAATTTCGCCGCTATAGAGTTATTATTAATTAAGCTACTTTTTACTACTAAGGTTATCCTTTTATTAGAACCTAAATAGAAGCTATAGATAAATTAGATTAAAACCTTTACTAAAAGCTATTATTATTATTAAATTCTATTACGCTAGTATAGCTCCTATTAAGGTTTATATAGCTATTCTATTTAGGCTAGTTTATAAAAAGAAACCGTTTGCTGCTATATAGCGTTTAGATAAAAACCCTATTCTCTGCGGTATATAGCGCTAAGCGCTCTTTTTATTATTATATAGCTATTAGGAATATATAGTAGATCTATTAAGTTTACTATAAAATAAGCTATTATAATACGTTTTCCTAAATTTATCCGGGTTTTATAGTTGTCCTCCTAGGTGCAGGTTAAGTTAATTCCGGAATAGTAAGCTAGTTTAAGATTAGCGTAAGGGTATATTATTATTATTAAATTCTATTACGCTGGTGTAGCTCCTATTAGGGTCTATATAGCTGTTCTATCTAGGCTAGTTTATAAGGAGAAACCGTTTGCTGCCATGCAGCGTTCGGATGAAAACCCCGTCCTCTGCGGCGTATAGCGCTGAGTGCTCTTCTCGTTGTTGTATAGCTATTAGGGACACGTGGTAGATCTATTAAGTCCACCACGGAATAAGCCATCGTAATGCGTTTTCCTAAATCTGTCCGGGTTTTGCAGT